CAGGGTTGGCAGTGGCTTTTATTTGAGAAGCCCGAGCGCTATGCGGTGCCGTTGTTGGTACATTTGGTGGAGGGGTTTATCTGGACGATTGTGCAGAGACTTGGTCTTTTTGACGGCACCAGGCCTTTTCAGGCGGAGGAGGTGGAGTCGGGGGAGAAAACGGCATCGATTCAGTGCAAGGCTTTATACCCCAAGGAATATAATGTGAACTCCCCGCATAAACTTCTTATCGAGTTTCTCTCGGATTGCTACGTGGACATTCGTGGGCCTGTGTCTTTTCATCCGTCTGTGCTTCTTCTCCTGCACCACCTTGCCATGCGAGTGGTTGAGGCACCATCCCGATTCTCCACGAAAGATAGTTCCTTTTCGGAAATGATGCGTTGCGCCCTATTAATGAGTTCCATATGCCATAATTTGCAGATTGTCAATGAACGTCGCTTAAGTATTGGATCACCCGCTTTTGTGGCCTCCGCTTCTATTGGAAAAGTTCGTCAAGGCTGGTACAAGTGTCTGCTGCAATGGTTTCACAAGACTCCGCCTTCGTGGTACTTTACGCGAGATCCCTCTGCCGCAGAGGAGGAGTTGGTGGTGCTTCAGAAGCTCATAAAAGTACTTGATGCGGATCGAGATGCGTTGCTGCGTTCTACGCATGGCTTTCTTGATTTTGACCCGTCTAAAATTCATGATTGTACGGCTGCGAAGTTTACGCTTATGGGGAGTGGTGTACGCCATACACTCTGTGACATGCTCTCGGACGATTCAGTGAAGGCGGAGGGGGTGATTCAGGGGGTGATCACCAGTGAACGAAACCGCCTTTTGGATCTTATTGCGCTAATGAGACTTTTGGTGGAGCACGAACGCACACGACTTGCGGTGTGGCTTCGGCCACGTGTAGGGGCTGGCGCCCGGTTGGGGGAGGGGAGTTTGAATGGCCTTTCTGAGGCCGTGTGGAGGAGGCATTGTGAGGCGGCGGCGAGGAATAACCCTGCGGTGTTACTGGCGTTGGTGGCAAGATTTCCCAGTCCACATTTATTGGGGTCCGCCACGCGGCATGTAACCACCAACCCCGAAGCCTATTGCCACCTACCCGAGGCAGTTGATCTTTACCTTAACGAGGAGGTGCTTAGGAGTGGTTATCCCGCCCTCGGTTTATTTACAAATTGCACAATTGTGCAGGCTCTTTGCTTTCTTGACAAATCCTACACGACGCGGTACCCGCAGATTTCAGCGTATGCTCTTCGCAGTCTCTTGTCCCAAAAGAGTGAAAGTCTTATATTTTATCTCCCACAAATCGTACAATTATTTTCTGGTGATGCATCGGGCGGTATCGCTGTCTTCCTCCGTAAGATGTGCGAGAAGAGTGATATGTTTACGCATCAGCTGCTTTGGTCCTTGCGGACGGAAGGGGAGGGGGGAGCTGAAATGGCAAGACGATGCGCACAACTTGCTTCTGATGTGGAAGAAGGACTTGTTGCCAAACGGCGATCGTTTCACTATGGGGAGTTTTCTTTTATTGAAAAGATCATCTCCGTGTCGGGTGAAATGAGGTCTTTTGAAAAGGCATTGCGGAAGGAAAAACTGCTTCTTCGTCTGCATGATGCGGAGTTTCACGAACCGGTGGAACGGCAACATTTGTACCTTCCCACAGACACACGCTGGCGCATTGCGGGGATCATACCCGAAACAGCTGCCGCGATGCAAAGTGCGGTGAAGTGCCCCATACTGGTCCAGTTCAAATGCATCCCGCGAGATCCGGATGATTGCGAGGTTGCCCTGAAGAAAAGGGATGAAAAGTCACCCGCGGACACAGAGACTACCATAAAGGCATGTATCTTCAAGATGGGCGATGATTGCCGACAGGATCAGATTGCTTTGCAAATTATTGGTCTCTTTCAGCGCATTTATGACACCATTCAGGTGCCATCTTACTTGTATCCATATCGGGTAGTGACGACTGGAAGGGACAGCGCTGTCATTGAGTGCGTTCCTCGTGCGATGAGCCGGGACCAAATTGGAAAACTTGTAGAAAGCAACCTTGCGGAGTACTTTGTCCAAACTTACGGTCACCCAGAGTCTGTGACGTTTCACCGGGCCAGAGAATGCTTTATACGAAGTATGGCTTCATATTCGGTCGCTTCCTTTGTGCTCAACGTTAAGGATCGTCATAACGGCAATCTCATGATTGATGCTCACGGGCACCTCGTGCACATTGATTTTGGATTTTTGTTTGACTTCTCCCCAGGGGGAGACATTAATTTCGAGTCGTCACCATTCAAACTGACGGCGGAAATGGTGCAACTTATGGGATGTCCTGTGGGTCGTGGAAATGGAACGGTGCAGAGCCACTCCCTATCAAAGGCATTGGTGGATCCCGAGGCGTACAATTTGTTTAGGGATTTAACAGTTCGTTGTTACCTTGCGGTGCGCCAATACGCCCGTCAGATTTGTGTACTTGTAGAGTTGATGCTGGGCAGTGGCTTGCCCTGCTTCAAGCCCAGGAAGACGATTCGGGATCTCGCATGGCGACTCTCGATGCAGATGAGCGAAGTAGAGGCTGCTGAATTTATGCTCCGGCGGATTTCAGAATCGAGGGGGAATCTCCGAACGGTTCTTTATGACAGGTACCAAAATTTCGCGGAAGGCATAGAGATGTAAGACGGGGAGCTTTCCTTTCTGTGGGCCTGTTTCTGCGGAAGCTGTGTCGTGGCGAGCGGGGAGGCGTTGCGCGAGTTACGGATCGTTGGGGCGTGGGGGGGTGCTCTGCCATGATTTAACTCCTCGCTTTGAGTTTATTTCGCCGTCTGGGCGGCACGGGCGCGTGTGTTCGTTTCCGCTGGTTTATTCCCTTTCGCCTCACGCGCCGCTCTTTTTCTATTTTTTTTATTATTATTTGAAGCTTGCGGGGGGAAAATTGTTAGCGAGAAGGCCGGCGTCCCTAGGAATAATGGTGCTCGTCCCGCTGGCGTCGGTCCCTTGCTTCCTCGCGTCGCGGCCGGACGGAAGGTCATGGGGGGGGAACCGCAGGGAAATATCTTCCCGCGTTCTCGGGCACGTGTTATGGCTGTTCCGGCCCCGCGGAGCCCGGGGGTCGCTCGGAAGGGGCGGCCAGGGCGCCGGTCGCCTGGCGGAGGCGCGGGGCGGCGTCCGCTCCGAACGCGGGGGCGCCATGCAACGCCGCCGGCGCGACGACGACGGGCCAACAGAGAAGCCAGCGAAACGCCGCCACCAGCGGGGACGCGACCCTTTCGGGGCACATCGCGGACCCCCGGGCACCTCGAGCGCCAAACGTCAAGACTCACCTGCTCTTGCCCATCATTGGGGGACGGCCCGTCGGTTTGGGGGAAGGCAAGGGGCGGTCGCTGCGGAAGGCCAAGGGCGAACCCGGACTACGCCCGCGCCGCCGCGGACGTGCTGAATTGGAACGCTTAGCTTTAATTTCAGGCGCACGGAACGATTTACTACTTCTCAGCGCGCGCGTCCAACACTGCGGTGGCGGACGGTCTTCTTGCGCAACGAGAATCGGCGATGGCGGGGCGCAAACGCCATTTGGAGACAGCCCCTGCCCAACCCCCGCCCAACCCCAGGGACAACCCCAGGAACGAAAGGCACGCATCAGCGCCTTGGAGGCGCGGTTTGCAGCTTGGGGTGCGGCGACGCGCCCGGGCAGCGAGGAGTTCCCTCTTCCAGGAGAGGGCCGCCAGATGCACCCGCGCACGGGTCCGAAGATGGCGCAACGACACCACCCCACCACGAGCGTTTGATGGCCGGGGGCGCGGCTGCACCCACAATTCCCCAACCCATTTTCACGGGAGAGCGACGGCGGGTCAATACTCATGCGTCATTGGGCAATTTGGGCGACTACGTTTCCCTCACCCCGTGACTTCGCCCTCTCGATCTCCGGCTTCGGAAGAAGTTCCCGGTTCAAATGAAGAGGATCCGGGTTTCCTTGAATTTGTCGTCAACACTTGGTCCCGCGAATTTGGAATGAAGGCGTCTTTGAAATCCGTAGCGCTTACGATTACTGGCACCGAGGGGATGCTCACGCCCAAATTGCCTTTGACATTTCTGGTTTCGTGGATGTGCGCCTTGCAGTTGTATCGGGAGCCCAACAAGCAGTTCATGGACTTGGGCAGGATTATACCGCGGGCCTTCCGGATGCAGATCGTGATTGAATCCGACCCCAGTGTGCCGACCCAAAAACTGCGCGCCCGCCTTCATACGGCTTTTTATGAGGATGACACCTTCGCGAGGGTGGCTCAGCCTTTTGTGGATCGACGGGGAACTCGATCGCTGTTGCTGCGATGCCGACTGTGCCACGATTATGGGCACGACGCGTCTAATTGCAACGTGCGCCCCAAAAGGGGTTTCCCGAACTACAAACGAACGTCAAAAAACGGCAAAGGGGCTGCCCACCGCTTATGAAGGCGGACGACGGCAGCCCCACCACCTCCCACCAATCCCCACAGAAGTCGTCGCACCGCACCGCCGGTGCTTCATCCGGCCCCTCAAATCGCCCCACGCAATCGTTGAGAATGGCGATGGGGCTTCTCCGCCAACGACGCTCGACTGTGGCACGACGAATCAGCGACATCCCCGCTTCGGGCCGGCCACACAAGGAGGGCGAACGATGTGGCTTGATAAATGTGGGCGCCGTCAGCGTGGGGGCAGAGAATGCCCCTAGCGGGGCAATTTACGACCTTTTTGCCACACGCACGAACGCACGACGAACGAGGAGAGCCGCGCGGCCTTTTGATGGTAATATTAGACGTGGTGCCATCGACCCGACCGCGGCACACCAGGATGCTGCGGTCCATGTTGGAAATGAATCGAACCCCGCTGGGCATGATGATTCTGGGGTTACAAAATATCGCGGCGCAATCGGAGACGAAACAGGCGCGCCCCTTGACAAAGGAAGAGATGAATCAGTATATCCGCAGCCGAACCGATTGGAAGGAACGTGTTGTCTTACGACTTGCGTGGATAACGGCGAGTCGTTGGTCCGAGATTGCGGCCTTGACAGCCAAAAATTTCACAATGGAGGCGGACGGGACCCTAACTTTGGATTCGTCCGTGGCGCCGAAGACGGCGAAAGTGGATCCCCACCGCGCCTCGCGGTTCGTCAGGATACGAGGGCAGGACGCGTTCGACATTATAAAGCCATGCAGGACACTTCGACGCAACGAGAAGCTCACGAATATTACTAATACCAAAGTCGAACGGGCTTTGGCTCCTTGGAATGCCACGGCGCATTCCATAAAACGGGGTGCGTTGCGGCACGCTGCTCAAATCGTGGAGACATACAGTTTGAGCCACACGTGATCTCGCTGTTGGTGAAGCACGTCAATCCGTTCGAACTTCCCCAGAACACTGTTCGATATTTGGGGAGTACACCACAATGCTGACCCAGGTGTCGTCGCTGGTCGCATTGATGTGAAGGGAGAAACCGCGGAAGGGCAGTAACCCTGGTTGAGAGCGGAGGAGCGCTTTTTCTCTGATTTTCATCACAATCATGCTGCTACAATAACGAGACGCGCGACAAGGACGCGCCTGGCCACTCCACACGGTGTCAGAAACGCCGAGAATTTAGGCGTAGGCGCGCAATTTTTCCTTCCTTTTCTTTGGGGCGGCCGCGCGGGAAACTGGCGACCGACGCCCCGAGAGGGGGGTGGAAAAAGAAACGGAGAGAGAGCCTGGGAAAATGCCGGGGTGCCGGGAACCGGTGTAGCAGCGAGCGCCTGACCGCCGAGGTCCACGCAACGCACGAAGCCGGGCAGCCGGTAAGCAACAGAATGCTGAGGAAAAACAAAGACGGGAAAGAAGCAACAAAATAAGACAGTAGCGCCCACAGCGCCGGCGGCCACGAAAAAAAATAATAACAACACACGGGCCCCGCGATCTGTCAAACGTAGGTCCTTCAGGACCTCTTGGTTTTTATTTCTTATCCTCCAGGAGCGCACCCCACGCTCTTCGAATCCACCGCCGCAGCCCCGTACCGCCCGGCGAACTATAAGTCGCACCCAGCGCCCTTGAGCCCCGGACCACGTCGGAAAAACCCGCGCTAGCGCCTTTAGCGAAGTCCAGGATGCGTGGTACATCCGCATTTGCGGCTTTCTCCCGCAAGCAGGTCTCCATAAGCGATGGTTCCTCTTCGTCGTCCGGCGGCGGCGCCTGGAACGCCGGCCGCCCAACCTTCTCCGGCGGCCTGGCGACCTTTCCGGCCGCTCTCGTCGACCTCGTCAGCCCCTCCGTTACCGAAACGCCTTGCTACGTCTGGATCGCCGCCCTGCACCGGAGGATGTTCTTGACCGGCGGCGGCTTCGCGAAACCTCGGCGAGGGGGGGAAGAGAGGGTGCGGAAAGAAGGGGAAACGCTGGAGGAGACGCGGCGCGACCCGCGGCCGGCAAAAAAAAAAAAAGAAAACGGAAGGAAGGGGAGGGAGAAGAGAAGAAGCAGAAAAAGAACAACGGCACGCAGAGGCCCCCGCCACGGCGCCGATGCTTCCCCCCGCTCCTCTGAAGTCGCGCCGCAGTCAGCCACCAACACGCAAAGGAAAAAAGCAAGAAATCGCAATGCTAAAAAGAAAAAAAAAACAACAAGAAGGCAGACACACGTCCATAAAAAAAGCGGCGGCCATTGCCGTCGGTGCTCCCCGCACTCGAATCGTCTACGCAATTTTGAGCGCGCCAACGGTGGCTGCAATGGCGGCGGCCGCACCGTTGGAACCAGCCTGCTCGATCTCCTCCGAAGCGCTGTCATGCACCTGAATATACTTTAGAATTGTACGCTTACTGCTGTCCTCTAACTCACCGCCCAATATCACCTCGTCCAGCACGAAATAGGCTCGATGAAAGTTGAAGATGAGATCGAGCTCGCAGACATTGCCAAAGTAGCGGTCCAATACCTCCACAAAATGGTGGATGACTTCCAGCACGATCAGCTCGTTATCGTCTTTGTCGATGGAAGCAACAAAATAAAGGGAGGCATAACGACGACAAATGTACTTGCTGCCCCTGTGCTCAACCACATTGGAAAAGCGCACCGACCGACCCAAAGCAAGTTGACACGCCTCACGCACAAGTTTGGCCTTTTCCTTTTTGGGATATGCAACATACCACTTTGCCAGGCGCAGTTTGCCCTGGCGGCTGATCAGAAGCAGGTATATTTATCATTGACACCAGTGCCAGGATGGTCCCCACTCCTCGCTAAGTAATGCTATGCGCTTCTGCGGCGTGCCTCTACGCTCTGTTTGCTCCGTGCTCTTTCCCTGCCTTTTCGCCGTCGCGCGGGGGAATCGGGACTTCTTGTCTCGGCACCGCGCGCTGCGGATAAAAACACGAGGGAAGCCAGCAGCAATAGGGAGGTGTGGAGAACAAAGAAGGGAAGAAAGGGAAACACACAGAGCTGCAGCTAGAGAGGGGAAGAGAGGGATAGAAAGAGAGAGAGAAAAGCGATAGCTGTAACAGGTTCCTGACGGGTTTCCTCTTGCCATGCCTGCGCGTCTCTATTCAAAGAAAAAAAAAACAAAAAAAAAGAGAGACCGCCACGATTATCACAAAAACAGGGCTCAAATTGCAATGGTCTTTGCGCACATGCCGCCTCTGCTGACTCCGCCTCGTGAACGTTTGGATGCGACTGTCACAAGCAGAGAGTGTGAG